GATATATGTGTACTGGCCAAGGATGATATTTGGTTTGGACTTTTCCGGAGAAAGAATCCAGGAAAGCCAAGCTTACAAAATGAAGTTGATTAGTACACGGAAATAAACTTGTCATTTAAACCCTAATAGATAACCAACTATATTACCAACATAATATGTTATAATTGGATATACTTAATCGGCTATCGTAATTCCTTCCAAACAATATAAAGCAACTATTGCCAACATGATCGATTACTTAACCCGAAAACTTTCTTTTTTTGGAAGCTGTTTCTAAGATATATAAGCAATTATGGGCATATTTAGTTCAATTTTTAAGTGTTTCAATTTTTTGATATTATTCATATTTTATAAAATTAAATTTTTTTCTTAAAAATTTATATTTTTTAAATTTTTTTTTAACTTTAAAAAACTCTAAACAGTAAAAATTTTAAAAATTTTAAAATTTTACTTTTTATAACTTCTTTTTTATTTATTTCTTACTCATTAGTTATTATTTTTAAAAGTAACTTTTAAATTTTTTTTCTAATAAAAATTTAAACTTTTCACTATAAATAATACTAAAAAAATAAAAACTCCAAAAACACTCTACCAAACAAGCTCTATAACACATTATAATCGATTATATCCCATTGACCATGGATAATTATTTTCCAAGCCATGCCAACACTAAAAATGGCTCACCTTCCAAGAATTCTTCTTCTAGAAAAAGCCCAAACAAAACATGTTATTCAAAAAGTATTTATAAAAAGGTGTTAGTGTCTATCAGTCATTACTTTCAAAAACAATTAAATTCTCACTTATATTTAAAAATTAAAATGTCACCATATTAAATATTGATATTTAAATTTAAATACCCATTATATTTTTTAATATAATGAATTTCAAAATCTATATATCAACATGTAATATGATAAGATTTTTAATTTTAAATTATGTTTTAATTAAATAAAATGACATAATTTAATATTATGACTCCAATTATTTTTAAAAATCAAAACTGATACACACTTTTCACTTATAAAAAAGTCATTCAAAATGTTAACTTGATCTTAAAAATTAATTCAAAACAAAATTATTAGAAAAGATATATAATCATTATATAGGGGCATAATCGATTATATATGAAATCAAGAAATACTTTCCAATTCAAAAAAAATTTGAAGAATCCTTTCTAGGTTACATAATTGATTATATTTCAAAAATCCCATACCAACTAGGTATACTTTGCATATAACTGGTTATATCACCACCTTGATTTTTGTGCCAAAAATTGATATCTTAGGTTTAAGCTGACTTTTTGGAGGCTCACAAGTTTTCTGAAAATGCCTTTCAAAATAAAGACTGCCCAAACATGTCTTTTTGGTGTTTGGTTGAGGGGAAAAAAATTTTTTTTATTTTAAAAAAGTTTTTTTTATAAGATTATTTATTCATTTTTACATATTAATACTATAATAAAAAGAGGATTAAAGTGGTATTATAAATATTTTTTTTAATACAATTTTCAACGCATAAAGTTTTCTTCATATATATTTTGAAAGAAAAAATTTTCATACAACTGTTCTTCTATTGGGTTTACTTAACAACTTTCCTTATTATTTATTTTTATATCAATTTCTTATCAAATATAATAAGGTTAATAATCTAATAAAGTTTCAACAAAATTTAATTACAACATTTAATAACTTTTTGTACATTACTTTCTTATTCATTTTCCCAATAAAAACTTTTCTAATAAAATAACACTCTAACTAAATATGCCCTTAGTGTTTCCCTTTACTCATACCAAAATGTTATATGCTTATAATATTGTAAGCCTATAAACATGCATAATATACATGGATATATTTATGACGTAAAATGGTGGTTCAACTAATTAATAGTATGGAATTTTAGGTTGAAATTCTTAAATTTAAATTTTGAATTGCAATGGGAAGAATTAAAAAAAAAAAAAGAGAAAGGTTAGATTATATCTATAAAACCATCATCAGATGGACTAAAAGATATATATGCATACATTTATTTAATTAATAATATTATTATAAACTTTTAATTTTACATGAAATTATAAGAATATTATTTTATTTTTCAATTAAGATTTATTATTTTACAATCTAAATTATAAAATAATGACTCATTTAAGAGCCAATACTAAAAGGTTCCATTCTTTATTAAATAATCACTATTTTACAATTTGAATACGTATGATATGAAACACAATTTTTCATTTCAATTAAGTATAAATGATATTAAGTGTGGCACCTAACTCTTCGGCTCAATGACATTAACTACATTAAAGAAAAAAGATGCACTTCTCCATCCTACTTAGATCAGAGTTCGATCCCGTCAATATTAACATGTTCAAAAAAAAAAAAAAAATCACTATTTTACGATTTGAATCAGTGTGATATGAAATACAATTTTTCATTAAAAAAAAAAAAAAACGATATTAAGTGTGATTGCAGATTATCATGCAAAATTACTGGCGTACTCTCAGAGAGAAACAGCGCTCCAATGCAGTGGAGAGAATCCGAGCAAACCTTAGACTTCCAACTGCGACGTGTCAAACTTAGATCGTCAGTGGAATGATTAGTTTACTTTTTTGTTTTTTTGCACATGGGCCTTCCAAATCATGTTAAAATGATTCACCCCAGCCTTTGTCTGGATTATTTTTTCAATTTTAAAATAGATCGAGTTATATTTTTGGAGAAGCTAGGAAATAATGAGGGTAAAGAAAAAGAATATCCAAGAAGAATAACTGAATAAGTTAGGAGAAAATGAGGGTAAACCAAAAGAAAATCCATAAAGAAATCCGTGAAGTTTGAAACTCCACTCCATCGACCATTGTCCGTCGACCATTGTCCGTCGTCTTTGTCCGCATTCTACCGACTGTCCTGAAGGAGTTGTAATTTTCAAAAAAAAAAAAGTGGGACCGGATTCTAACCTACCATCCTAAAAGAGTTGTAATTTTTTTTAAAAAAAGTGGGACGGATTTTTCCAATGTTCGTACTGGTGATTAGCATTTGGTGTAGTGCCATGGTGGCAAATATTCAGTATCCATCCTTTCAATCAATAGGAAATTGACAAATATTAACCCCATTAAGCACAAACAAAATTCAATGGCTGAAAGCAGCTGATTATTTCTGGGACGCGTCGTACTACATAAAAATCGAGAATGATCAGTAGGGAAGTGTATATATAGAAGAAAGTAAGCATTCCCTCAGCACCCTGCTTGTTATTGAGGATTGTTGGTTCTACTTCTTGGTTATCCTCACCAACAAGCAGTGTAGAATGGAAAGATTTGAGAAGAAACTAACGAAAACGGACGAAGGTTCCATGTTAGTGATCCCAGCTCGTTTCAGCAGAAATCACATGCGACCGGTTGAAGGAGGACGCTCTGAAAATATAAGAGTCGTGGATGTGGGTGGAACAGAATGGACCTTCGGCTACTACGTCCGACGGCACCGCAATCCACGTCCCGTTTTGAGATCTGGGTGGCGCCGCTTTGTCCTTGAGAAAGAACTGAAAGTTGGAGACCGAATCATATTTGAACGTGTAGATGGCTTCCCGGAGCTTTACAGGATTGGAGCGAAAAAAAGGATCCATCTCTTCGGTCAGGTGGTATGGACTGACGTACTCTAAAAAGTGTTATGTATGTCTTTGCTTTCTAAGGATTTGAGTTTTAACGTTTAGCTGCGTGTTTTCATTTCTGTTTTCTGTTTTTGTTGTTCCACTTAATTTGGATGTGTTTTTGGACTTCGGATTGTTAAATGAATTAGTGTTTGGACTTTATGATGTTATACTTCTTACTGTTTTCATCATCCCTCAACAACAGTTATAATTAACGTTACGTCCAAGGGAAGATCATGGATATGTTTTCTGCTTCCAATTCTTCTTTTCATGAGCTCCGATGAATAGTTTTCAAAACCCAGAAAAGGATAGACAATGAATCTCTTTCTTTTGCTTTACTTTCATGGACTCCAAAATATTATAAGAACCAGACGGATGGTTTTGGGCCAGGCTGTTCCTGATTTTGGGCCATTAGAATCAACTCCTCTTTTTATTTTTATTTTTTATTTTTATATAGCAAATAAGGAAATTGATTGGAAAGCCTCAGACTTCGTTTGGGATGACCACACATGATACTCTTCCCCGCAATGTTTTATCTGGAAAAGTAAATTTATTATAATTGATTAATTTTAATTAATATTTTGTATTTTAATAAATATTAATTAATATTTATGTAATTTTACAATAATAAAAGACAAAAACTTACCACCACA